AATTCAGAGCGTACGAGTTGTCTGGACACAGTTCTCAACATGGAGGTGGCTGAGTAGCTGCTAACAGTGCTCCATTTATTCCGTAAATGCACCTTAATAATGGCAACAGTGCTGACAGAGCTAACAGTGTAAAATAGTGGCTTCTGCAATGCCACCGTCCTGATATTAGCTGTAACTGTTGTGTTAGCATCGTAAAGGCGAAGATGAGCTAATCATGTATGCAACATGCGTGCATGACCGGACCGGCTTACCATAACACACCACAGAGAAGCTCGCATTTCAACACACACAAAGGTAGTGTGACATCATTCTCTGCTCAGGACACATTACTCCAGTATATCTTTATATAGCAAATTGTGGTTTGCTGCTAAATTATTGCTCTGAATGTTGCACACAGAATCCATAAGCATGATTTCTTAATCTCAATAATACAGAGAAAATCAAAAAACCCTGTGTGAACAGTCCAACAATGTGTGTGTTTTCCTACTGGAAGCAGCAATTTCATATCATATGTCCATAGGATAACCTTTCTGGATTTATTTATGAAATGTCTGGGATTGTTTGTGAGCATCAAAGGCAGATTTCAAGCATCTTGGACAGCGGTCACCAACAGACCCTTGTTAATTCAGTGACAAATGTTGCCCATTCATAATTGATAGCCCTAAAGGGCAGCAGGATGGCCTGCCTGCCAATAACATTCAATGTCAAACCTCTGGAGAGCTTGGAAAGTGGAAAGCATAATTGAATCCCTCAAGATTATTGTAATAGCAGAGCAATGGCAAAAGGAGGAAAGTGACCTTTGGCTGCGGATGATTTGTTTCTGCTGTGTCTTGTCTTGAAAGCTGTTCTTCAGAGATCCATCAAGTGGTTGTTGGTTAGACCACTGTCACTTTTTTTTTTATAAAGACAAACAAAGGCGTGTAGATTACAATCCATTTGTCAGCTTGTTTTCCAGTGAATTGACACTGCCTCTAGTTAATTCTTTTGCAGTGGGAGTATGTTCAACAAGTCTAATTACATTGTGCTGTATGTTGCATGTACAGACGCATGCGATTGCCAGGAGCACCTTTTGGGTACAGAGTAATGTATGCAAATTTACAGGCTCTGCCATAAGCCAAGCTATGTATCTTTAATTAGCATTTTCACTCTTTGCTTGAAGGCTGTGTGTGTGTGTGTGTGTGTGTGTGAGTGTGTGTGTGTGTGTGTGTGTGTGTGTGTGCGTGTGTATGGTGAGTGTGTGTGTGTGTTACATAGGCTATGTTGTGATTTCATGCAGCTCATCTGCGTGCAAGTGCACATCAGGGAGACTCCTAGCCACACTGGCAGGGGAAGACTCCTGACTTACGGACTTAATCAAAGATTCATTGACTACACTCATTAGGCACAAGTCTATCCCATCTTGGCACATGTCTCCTACTGGCTCATTCCCCATGGGCAAGACAGAGGCCTGCTTATCTGAGCCATACCTATGGTGAGATATAATTATTAAGGGATGTAGTCTCCTAAGGAAGGCCAAAAGGGATTACCACACATGTTACAACCATGCATTATTTTGCATCTTGAGTAATAATAACCCATAGGAACACTCATGTTTAACAAGGAATTTAAAGCTTTAGTGATGTTTGCTAAATGGAAACCCCTTTTTCACACAAAAAAATTCAGTTGGTCTTTTTCAGGAACTCACTGACACCCTACTGTTTCCTGTTTCTTCACCATTTCCAATAGAACAACACACTGTGCCTTCAAAATCATCCCACACCCAATCTCTCAGACACAAACCACAGAGCTTTCACATGCCTAGCATTACAATAGCTACTGACACTGATCGTCTCTACAATCAACACTTGACATTACTACTATCTGGTCAGAGATATGGGACCTTAAAATGGTAAGGAGCATGCTTCAACCAGAGTTGGTCCCTTCTGCCATGGCAGTCTGAACAATCTGCCTCGCTGACATTGTTGTGAGCTGGGATACTTGAAGGACATGAATGTATTCATGAAGACTTTATGTATTTTTTATATCTGTATGTTTTAGTGTTGTACTGGCTGTTAAAACAAATCTTTGTCTGGGCCAATAAAAATTATTCTTAGATGGACAATGCACATTGAGAACTTTAAATATATTGTGATGCTAAACAGTGTTAAGCCTCAGTCTTTGGACAAAAATGCTTATGAGGTTAAGTCACATATTATCCTTCATCCCGTACGAGTGAGGGTAGAATAGAGTGATAGATGGATCGGCGATTTGGCACGGCATCTGCAGTGATGCGGGCACTGTGCTGGACTGTCGTGGTGAAGAGAGAGCTGAGCCGGAAAGCAAAGCTTTCAATCTACTGGGCCATCTACGTCCCATAGGTATGGGTAATGACTGAAAGAATGAGGTTGCGAACACAAGTGCCTGAAATGAGTTTCCTCTGGAGGGTGGCTGGGCTCAGCCTTAGAGATAGGGTAAGGAGCTTGGACATCCAGAGGGAGCTCAAAGTAGAGCTGCTGCTCCTTCATGTCCAAAAGGGTCATTTGAGGTGGTTCTGGCATCAGATCAGAATGTCTCTTGGGTGTCTCCTGTTAGAGGTGTTTCAGGCATGTCCCATTGGTAGGAGGCCCCGGGGCAGACCCAGAACAAGCTGGAGCGATTACATATCTCATCTGGCCTGGGAATGCGTCAGGATTCCTCATGACGAGCTGGAAAGTGTTGCTTGGGAGAGGTGCGTCTGGAATACTTTGCTCAGCCGGCTGCCCCCTTGACCCGACTTTGGATAAGTGGTTGAAAACCTAGAGTTGGGCGGTATCCAAATTTTGTTCCTGTTAAACCTTCCCCACATTTTCCCGTGGTATACGGTATTACCATGACTAATTAAAAATGACTTTAAATAGAATAGAATAGAATAAATCTTTATTGTCCACCAGGGTGGAAAATTGTCATACATACATACAGGACGTAGCATAACATAACACATAACAGAGCTAAAATATGAACAAAGCCAAAACACAAGATAAAAATTCATATAGATATTTTTTAAAAGATGAATAAATAAAATAAAATACAGTGCTATAAAAGTACGGTAGAGCAGTTCATGTCATTATCTGTTGTTTAGTCACTTAATGGAGTTAAGGCAGGGCCAGATTAACACTTCGCTGTACCCTGGGCAACAATATTCAAGGGCCCCATCATCACGACCCCAGGATCACTATAATATGGCAAAAGAATAAATAAATTCCAGTAATATAAGTAAATATACTCAATACATCAATATCAAACTGTCATCAAGTACATTTTGATGTACAGATGTGCAAATGCTCATAGAAATACAAATGCACCACTATGTCCTCTTGTCAAAGCCACTCACTCACATATGATGCTATGAAAATAAAACACATCAGCATCAGTATAATCTGGCAAAAATGACCCACTACATTAGAGAGGAAGGGAAGTGTCCTCCATTTTCACAAAAAAATAAAAAAGCAACCACTTTCAAAGCATCCAGTATTTATTTAACAACACTTATTACCAACACAAATGTATTGAATTGATAGAGCCATCACAGAGGAAGTCCACAGACAAGACACAAAATAAAAATCCATAATCTGATAGAATCAAGTAGCATTTTGGTCCTCGGCTCATTTTAAACAGAAATCACCCTGTCACCTCAGAATTCAACAGGACAATCAAGTGGTGCAATGTAAACATTTTGAAATCTGCCAGCTTTCTCTCAACAACAATAAACAATTTACAGCATTTTCATGGAGCCACCACAAGGAAAGAAAAATAAATAAAATGCAGTATCATCTGTTCAAATAAACATTTTGGTCCTAAGATCATTTGAACTTGTTTTAAAACAGAAAACAACCTGTAACATCACAATTCAACCAGACAGGCAAGAGTTAAACATTTCAGTGCAACATAAACATCTGGAAACCTGTCAATTTCTCTCAAAGAAATGCTGATCTGGCAAAATACACATTTTTTTATCCTAAATAATAGGGAAGTGCATGTTTAAATTTGAAATTCCTGATTTCATTTGGCACATATTAAAGTGGCATTTTTCTGGATTTTTCTGAATGTGCAAACTGTTGTACAATGTCTTCAAAATCAAGGGCACTAACAAGTTCATGTTAGATGGCCAGGAGAGAAAGTGCAGAGAGCCGTCTCTGTGACATCGTGGTCCTCAGCTCATTTTTAACTCGTTTCAACACAGAAAACGTTCTCTCACCCTCGCAGTTAGACACAGGCAAGGTTAAAAACAGACTTAGTGCAACATAAACATTTGGAAACGTTGTCTTAAGTCCATGTCTCTCAAGAGCTTGAAGCAACTGTACAGGTGAAGTCTCATTCTGCACAAAGTGCTTGAACTGAATAAGTTCGTCTGACAAGGCACCATCCAGATCTGTCGGATAAGTGGAGCTCAGCTTAGCAGCTCTTTCACGCACATCACAATCACTGCAGTCCCTCTCAAATAACCTCCAAAGAGGTCACACACATGTGTGTAGGCTTCGATGTGCTTGGATAGGCACGAACAAAGTCTGTCAATGATGACATAATATGTTTCAACCTTAAATCTCTGACTACTATCAGTAAAAGCTACTTCGCTGTCATCACCAGACTCATCTGCAAATTTCTTTCTTTTTTTCACACGTCGAGTGTCAAACTGGTAGTTTTGTGTGGCACTAACAGCGCGTGCGGATTCTTCGAGCTCTGCAAACTGTTCTCGTAGAGTGCCAACATATGAATGAAGTGACCGCAAAAGGCCAAGAGCAGTAGCTACATCCATATCGCTTTTTTGGAGCTGGTCACTTGTTGCCTTAAATCTATGCAGTACATGGTCCCATAACACAGTCATTATTACTGTCTCAAGTTTTTCAAGCTTTGCGACCAATGCAGCAGCTTCGAGTTTGGTTTGTGTTTTCTCATCACAGTCTGCAGCTATCTTGGCTAATGTATCTCTAATTGCCCCATAATTTTCATTGAGAGCTTTTGTGGAGTCTGCTCTGCAACTCCATCTAGTGGTGCTGAGGGATTAGAGTGTATTTAATGTGATGTTTGCTGTTATGGAAAACTGTATTCCAGTGATGTGTTGATGAGCTGCAAAATGTATACATAGACTGCAACAGGTCAAAAAAAGAGTTAACCTCCTCACAGCAATTATCAATGCAGTTAACACCTACGAGGTTCAGCGAATGGGCAGCACACGGTGTATAATGAATTAATGGGTTTTGTTTTTTCAAGTGCGCCTGGAGCCCGCTGTATTTGCCAGACATATTGCTAGCATTACCGTAACTTTGGCCACGGCAGTTTGACAAGTCTAACCCCAAGCCTCGCACCATTTCAATCACAGCTTCAGCTAGGCTTACACCTGTGTGGCTGTGGATGGGCTCAAACCCAATTAATCTTTCCACTACTCTGCCATCTGCACTGACAACACGAAAAACAAATGTGAGCTGATCTACGTGTGCTAAATCTGGTGATGAATCAATGATCACAGAGAAATATTTAGCGTGTCTGATTTCCTCTGCTATCACTTTCTTAGTTTTGTCACCCATTAATGAAATAAATTCTTCACACACAGTTGAGGACAGGTAAGATGGCTTATCTCTACCCTTATTGCCATGCTTCTCAATGTGCTCTTTTAAAAAGGGGTCAAACTCCGCTATCAGTTCAAGCAGTCCCAAATAGTTCCCATTGTGCGCGGAGCCGAGCAGTTCGTTGTCGCCTCGAAATGGCAGTCCTCTAGCTCCCATAAATTTAATAACAGCAACCACACGTCTAAGGACTTCTTTCCAGTACTGCTGTTCTGCCTCACACTGTCGGGCAAGAGAAGCGTCCACTCTGCATGTGTAATTAGACCTGTGCAATAAAGACAGCATGTTTTGTCTGTGTTCTGCGCTCTTTTCGTGATCACTAATCCTCTCTGGATGTTTCCAATCACAGAATCCGCTGATAATCATTTGGGATGACAGGAGATTGCACGCATAGCAATAAACTGATCCAGTTGATGGCGAGTGAAGAAGCCATTCCCTTGGCACAATTTCGTTGTTTGGGAGACAGCAATGAAGCAAATCGTTAGTGAGGGAGCGTGTCCTACTCCCAAGACAGGACTCTCTTACCGATGCAGGATACTTGGCAGCCCGGTTCTGGAAAGCTGCAGGCCCTCGGTAGATCGCCTCTTCCCGGAGCTGCTCTGTAACGGGCCCCCACAGTGCAGGATCCCCAGGGTGTTGAGACGTTGAGGTACAGGGGCAGCTCGTTGACTCGACAAGCGGCTCAGATGGAGGTGAGACTGGAGACCCATCACCGCTTCCCTCAAAGGTCGCACTTGCAGCAGAATTCGGGACGTCGGCTGAAGATGCAGCCGGGATGTCTTCTCTCTCTGGGCTGTGAACATAAGCTAGCGCCGGCGGCAGCAGTGAAGAAATGTCCTGGCTAGCTGAGCTGTCTGGCTCGTTGACGGACACTGCCTTAGCAGAACAGTTGGTAACGTTAACTGGAGTGAAGAAATTACCTATATTCGGTATATGCTTTAAATTTTCTGCGTTTCTGATCGCCTTCTCCTTTTTTAATTTCCATTTAGCGCTCCCACTTAGCTGCCTCTCCATGTTTGCATTTTTTGAGTTGCGTAGAGGCGCTTGACATCACAGACACACCCCGCTCACTGCACGTTGATTTGCGTCACCTTTGACCTGCCTTATACAGGCTGACCAATGAGGAGAGGGTCTCAGCTCACAGTCACAGACAGTCACAGGCAGGTGCAGGGTTTCTGTGCAGTGCAACGGCTCCGGGCAGCGGACAGTTTATATTATAAGCAAGAGATAACCAGATATTTTCCTTATGCCCTCACTGCCCCGGGCCCTTTAGAGGTCGCGGGCCCCTGGGCAATTGCCCAGTTGCCCATATGGTTAATCCGGCCTTGAGTTAAGGATGCTAATAGCACTGGGGACAAAGGACTTTTTAAAAGCCCCTTTAGCCAGAGGAACTCTGTAGCGCCTCCCAGACTTCAAGAGCTCAAACTGGCTGAAGAGAGGATGGGCTCAGAGGGAGTCGCCAAAATGTCGGCTTGCACCTATACCGTTCAGAAACATAATAACAAACATTACATAGGCCTAAGAACACTGAAAAAATAACAACAAAACAGTCCACTTCCAGTACAGTAATTGACACAAATCATTAAATTAAAACACAGCCCTATAACATCCAATACTTACAGGCTTATCAAATAACAAAAAAGTAAAAATACACAACAAAGGCAATAGCGAAAATGTGTGCTATACAGCGTATCCTGAGACCGCGACAGGTAAAGTCTGTTGGTATACTTTTAGAGCCTACCTTTAGTTTGAACAGTTCACCCTCTCCAAGTCCAAACTGTTTTGTCCGTCAGAAGAGGCTACTCCTCATTGAAAATGAAATAAAAACAAAGTATAATGATAACTATAGCAGCATTCTATGCTTCAAAACTATCCAAGGTTTTTTCACCAGAAAAAACAGCATGTTTACTTTTTCCAGCTGGAGCAGGGCACGTAGTGGTTGAACAACTTCGGCCGCGGTGCTGAACACCCGCTCTGATGGAGAGCTTGTGGCACAAACGCACAGGTACTTTTGGGCAGCCCTCGACATCAGAGGAAAACGCCTGCCTCCATCACATTTCCACCAGAGAAGGGGATCTTCATCTCCCTGAATGACAGGCTCGCGACAATAGGCAGTTATCTCTGCTCGTGCTCGCTCCTGTATGTTGCTGACCAGATCTGCCACCGCATCGGCTTTTCTTTGAAGGAGACTGCCCAGAGTCATCTGTTTTTCGGTGGTTCGGGTTGCGCTTCTCCCTCCTCCACTCTGATGGACACTGGACCTGCTGCTGCTGCTGCTTGCAGAAGTTGTGAAGTTGTGTTGTTTTTTTTTTTTGGGACCAACTCGCTTGATGCGCGGCTTGCCATCTTGTCTTCTCTTTCTCGCGTCCGAGCTGTCACATGACGACGTGACATCCAAAAACTTTATTAAAAAATTTATTAAATCCCGACAACAGTTAAGGGCAGTTATAGGAGAAACATTATAGCCTACTATTAGTTTTAAGTTGTAATAGTATTAAATTGAAAACTCAACCACACATACATAGGTGCTGGACAAGCCCTCATTATTTAGGCATTAAATAAATTGTATTTAATTAAATTTAATATTTAAATGACGGTAATGAAACTGATACCGTTGCTATTTTTAGATACCGCGGGATACCTTATTACCGTATTATCGCCCAACCCTACCTCATACTGAATGTCCGATAGTCCACCACTAACATTTTTGTCCCATTTCTTTTTGCCAATGAAAATTGAACATTGATTTTATTATAGTTTTTGTTAACAAGATATATTTTCAGCCTGTCAGTGTCTCATCTTCGTCATGGTAAAGGGTTGTTGACGAATAATCTTTGACATAGTTATTAAAAAAATTAACACTGATAATAATACTTATTTAATTTTACTTAAGTGCATTTTTGGGGGCTTTTGCCTTTGTTAGATTGCATAGTTTGCAGAAAGACAAGAAAGGGAAGAGACAGTGGAGACGACATGCAGAAAAAAGCTGTGGAGCAGAATTGAACTTGGGCTGCAGCTAAGGACTTGCTCCACCTGGTGAGCTACTGCAGGATCCCATACTTAAGTAAAATTCGAAATTCTCTGAATTCAAGTTGAAACAGAATACACTGTGCTAGTGCTACTTGTACTTTACGGAGTCATACAGTAGGCGACATACAGGGCAAAATTATAGCAAATAACCAGTATTTGCTATGTAAAGATATAGTGGGTTACAGTGCATGTGAGTCCCTGTGTGTGTATCCCACTGGCTAGCTCATCGCTGCCACTCTGCACTGCGCTCATACAACAATTAATTTGGGTATTGGGATGCAACATTTTTGTCCTAAAATGGCGAAGGCATGACCCGCCGTACTCTCCCGCTGTTTGGCCAGCACTGATTTCCTTCATTGGTTGGATTGGTTGGGTTTCAGAGGCAGAGTAAGGCAGAGAAGGTCAGATCATGCCGTTGCCACCCTGAAAACAAAAACTGAAAAAACTGAAGAAAAAAAACTCGCTATTGGAACAGCATCATTGCGGGAGTATCATGTCCACTCTCTGGTTTCCCTTCAAGTTACCGATATTAGCTTTAGTTCAGTTTGCATCATTAGACTGTGAATTATAGACATGCTCTGAATGTCACATACAGCTCCTTTAAGTAAAAGTTTGAAGTACTGCTCCAACATTACAGATAAGTGGTTATTAACTTAATAAATGAGAATCTCTCTTTGGTCAACCAAGATTTAAAACTCCTAATAACAAGATTGTAGATAAATGTATTGAATCCAGTAGCTACTGAAGTCAAGAAGTACTAGATAGTTGCATATCATAACAGTTTTTTCTGATATTATTTACAGCTTTGATCAATGGCATCTTGTTGAAATGTCTGGTGTGTATAACTTAAAACAGAATAGAGAGCTCCAATACGATATGAGAGCTGCAGACAAACTAACTAAAAATATGAAGTTGGAAAATGGCCTGACCTAATTCATGACACTGACATGCTTTTATTCAGAGACTGCGTATAAGCAGTTTGGAATGAGACCGATAATGTGCAGTAATTGTGCTGAATGTCACAGTCACAAGTTGTCATTTATCACATTTTATGAGCTGCTAAGCTCCAAGAAGACGTGTCTTACGTCACACAAGCCGCTTACTGGGCTTCATGTAAGGGCTGCATCCTTTATTGTTGTTGGAAACCGAGGCATTCAGGGTGAACTGTTAGTCGCTGACACAGCGTCTTTGGAGAGCTGTTCGAGACAGGGCCAAGAGCAAAGGTAGAGGTGAGCACACTATTCTGTTTAACAACCAACATCAATATTAAAAGACACTACTATAGCTTACAGCATTTTGCATTAAAAAAAAAAATGTTAAAAGTCCCTGTGAAAAGGAAGTTAGAGCGTCTTATGCTTCTGTACTGTGACATATTTCCCAGTGAAACAGAATATTTTAGCTATGCACAGTTACAACAGGGATTTAAATCAGATCATTTGCATTTGATTGGCCTGCTAAAAGTGGGTGGGCTTAGAGTTGAGTGCATGACAGAGCAACAGTGGAGTCCACTGCCGAGAGATGCTTGCTGTGCACAGTTCTTTCACCATTAGATGATGAAGAGGACAAGAGAGGTGAATGAATTAGACGTCCGCCACAATGTTTTGGAAATAAAACAAAAGGTTTTGTCCACTGATATCCAAACACACATCTCTTCCTATTACTCTCCATATTGCTCTGTTAGCTACTACAAACCACAAATGGTGAAGTGCGCTTTTTTTGACCGATGTGGCTAGCTGGTTGCCTAAAGTCTCATTTGATTGGCGGAACTGAGTCATCAAACATTTCAAACTCTTTCACCTGGTTTCACAGAAAGAGAAAAGACAGAGATTTTTATTTTTTTTGACATATATTTGCTGTATAACAAGAAACTAGTCCATACCCGGGGATGTGTTATGTATAGAGGAATAAGAAATCAAAAACGGTATATTAGTGGAGATGCAAAATCAGAGCACTGTAAATGCACTGTGTAATAAATATTAATGTAAGACAAACAATGCACACTGTATTTAGAAACATGCTTTATGGCAAAATACATGGAGCACAGTTTTGGCTGACGGCATGGAGGCACGCACGTGCGGGGGCTGTGCGCGGGCACACAGGTACACACATACATGTTTTGATCCACAAGTGTTGGAGATAAAGGTTTCCCAGCCAAACTGTGGTCCCAGCGCAGGTGTTTTCCAAGTGGTCTCTGCGCATGCACAGCTCGCGCTGCAGATGTTGCTCACAGTATGAATGGGTAGTGGACAAAAACGCGAATATAAACAGTAGAAATGTGGGAAAAATGCAAAAACGGCATCGTGGCTGTCTGCACATGACCAAGATGAAAGCCCATGTGCAAGTTCAGAGAAACAGGTCAAAGCAGTGAGGAGGAAAACGTAGGTAGTAGGTTAAACATTCAATTAACACTGGGAGACAGGGTTAACACTGGGAAATTGTATTTTTCATTTAATGGGGGCTTTAATATTAATAGGTTTGCCACCTGTGGAGTTATCTTAAAGCTACAGTTGGAATCTTTTATAAAAAGGAGGGCAGTGCTTGGTGCTTTGCTCGACTGTTTCCAACATGGCAGTTTATTCATTTCACATCTAAACAATAAACTAAAGTATGTTTCTGAAAACATCTGAGTCAGGACCAGAGGCAGATTTAGGATTGTAGGACATCCAGGGCTTAGCCCAGA